ACACTCTGACCGCAAACGTGCCCGTGCAATATCCCCTGACGCCCTCGCTCGGGGAGGCTGAAACCAGCGCCTCGCCTGAGGCATCCATCGTAGTCATCATCATCATCATCATCATCATCATCATCATCATCATCATCATCATCATCATCATCATCATCATCATCAACATCATCATCATCATCATCATCATCAGAATCAGAATCATCATCATCAGCAGCATCAGCATCAGCATCAGCATCAGCATCATCATCATCATCATCAGCAGCATCAGCATCAGCAGCAGCAGCACCAGCAGCATCAGCATCAGCATCCGCAGCATCAGCATCAGCATCAGCATCAGCATCAGCATCAGCATCAGCACCATCTGCACCATTATCAGCACCATCAGCATCATCAGCAGCATCAGCATCAACAGCAGCATCATCATCATTACCAGCATTCGCATCGTCATCATCATTAGTGCGGCCGTCGTCATCATCAGCAGCAGCATTATCTCGATCACCAACGGCATCATCAGCATCAGCAGCATCATCAGCATCAACATCACCATCATCACCGTCACTTTTATCATCATCATCATCACCATCACCATCACCAACACCAACACCAACACCATCATCAACATCAGCATCGTCCTTATCGTCGTCATCATCAGCATCGCCATGGTCATCATCACCAACATCCTCATCTGCATCAGCATCGCCACCGGCACCGCCATCATCAGCATCCTCAGCATCGTCATCATCATCACCACAATCATCATGATCAGTATCATCCGCGGCAGCATCGGTATCACCATCAGTATCATCATCTTCAGCATACGCATCACCGTCATATCATAACCTTCGTAGGGGCCTTGGTGCAGAGGAGGAGGAGGAGGAGGTTGGCGAGAGGGTGTGTGGGTGGGTCCTCGGCGCGGTCGGAGTAATGATTATTCACTGCGTGGAGCTCCCCAAGTGTGCATGTCATACTTCTGTAGATTCTCGCTGAAGAGCTCTGTCTGTGAACATCTGGTTGTGAGAGCGAGTCGGCGTGGACGACGGGCGCGACAACGACGACAGCGACAGCGAGGTCTTCAGTGATTGCAGCGGGCATATTCTAGGAAATACGAGGGAAGCACACGTGGAAGAGCGAGTGGGCATTCGACCACTGAGTGAGTCTGAGCATGTGTGATCTGAGTGGTTCTGAACGTGAATGAACCCAGGTCTGTTTGTATGTGAGTGCCAGTGGGTTCTTGGTATGAGAGTCTGAGTACGAGTGGGTCTGGAATTTGTAAATCTGAGTATGAGTGCGTCCGAGTGAGAGTGAGTCTGAGTGTGGGTAGGTCTGGTGTGACTGGGTATGATCATAAGTATACAATTACGGGTCTGAGTCTGTGAATGGGTTCGGGTACGAGTGAGTCTGGCTACGATTGAACATGAGGGTGTGTGCATCTGAGTGCGCGTGATTTTGAGTGTGAGTAAGTCTGGGTGTGAGTGCGTCTGGGTCTGCGTATGATGAGCACGAAACGAGTCTGAGCTGGTCTGAGTACGAGTGTGTCTGACTACGAGTGAGTATGAGGGTGGGTGGATGCAAGTGTGAGTGAGTCTGGGTGTGCGCAAGTTTGGGTGCGAGTGAGTATGAGTATAAGTATGATGGGTACTTGTCTAAGTATGATTGGGTCTGGTCTGAGCGCGAGTGAGTCCGAGCATAATTGAGTCTGGGGCATCCTCACAATCTGGCCCCCCTGTGGTGCGAAAGCCAGCGCCTCGCCCGAGACATCCTCAGAATCTGCTATGCACACAGTTGAGTCTGGCCAGCATAACAGACAAACCACTCGAGACAACCTCGTAACCAGTGCCCCCTCGAGTGCGACAGCCAGCGCTTCGCCCGAGACATCCTCAGATTCTGCTCCGAAAGTGGAGGATGTCGAGGGCACAAACAGGCAAACCGGTCGAGACACCCCCTCCATTTTGGCGCGAACGGAGGAGTGAGATACCCCCTGGGGGCTCCCCTTGGGGGTGCTGAAACCCGCGCCTCGCTCGAGACATCCGCAGCATTTGGTCAGCCATCATCATCATCACCATCATCATCATCATCAGCAGCAGCATCATCACCATCTTTACCACCACCATCATCACCGTCATCATCATCATCATAATATAACATAACACCGCCTAACATAACATATCGGTAACCTAACAATGCAAACCATATCATAGCACAACATAACATATCATACCATAACATCCCATATCATACAGTACCATAACATACCATACCATACCATGAGGAAGAAGAGGACGCGGGAGGGTGAATGAGTTGGCGCGATTGGAGAACAGCAATAACCCCATCTTTGTGATATGGGGAACAAGAACCCCATCCTGTGGATATGGGGAATAAAGAGAGCCTCATTCTCTGGATGTGGGGATCAAGAATCAAGAACCCCATCACTTGTATATGGAGAATAACAAGAACCTCATCCTTTGGATATGGTGAGCATGTGACCCTGGGTGGGAGGAGGAGAGGGAAGAGGAGGAGGCGGAGGAGGAGGCGGAGGGAGGTGATTGGGTGGGTCCTTGGCGCGGTCAGACAAGAAACCTTTTTTCTTTGGATATGGGAAGCGGCGCCCCATCCTCTGGATATGGGTAATAACAAGAACCCCATTTCCTTAGGCTATGGGGAGTAAGCTGTGTTTACTGAGCGGCCCTGGACGTTTTTTCCGGTTTCTTTTGGGGCGCTTGCTGAGGGCAGCTTGGGTTACAGTCGAACTTGGTGAGCAGGGCGACCTTACCAGCTCAAGCCGTAGGAGGATCATTCGCCTGCTAATGGGGGCCAGTCTTATAGGAGTCAGGAACAAGTGAGTTTGATTCTTGTATGTCTCGGTGCCGTAATCGTTTCAACGGATACATAGTTCTGAGCGTTCCCTGGGCAATTCCTATGTAAATGCTTCACCCGGGCCAGTAACAGTCTCAGAAGTTATGGTTTCCTTAGTTTGCCCTCCGCTGGCATCTGACCCGCAGGAGTCTGGCCCACACTAGCAGGCGACTGAGTGGAAAATGCGCCCCGACCCCCAAGACTTGCGTTGACTGAGCGGCCCGTGGCGTTTACGGAGCAGTGCTGCCCTGTGCGGTTCCTCAATTGAATGAGTTTCCTGGCCGGCTCCACCTGCAGGGGTTCTTTTGGTGATGGTGGTTCTGCGGTCCCGTATCAAGGGTGCCCTTGTGTCTTGTGTATCGCGCTTCGCGTCCTCTGCACTCCTGAGGGCAGGAGGGCGCCGCTCTTCTTCGGGGGTCCGTGTTGCCCTCGGAAGAGCCATGAAGAGCCCTGTGTCCTCTCGCGTACCCTCCCCTGTCAAAGTCGACCGTGTTTTCCGAGGGGAAAATCCTGTGGAAACCTTGCCGAGGAGGGCATGAGAAATTGACCTTGGATGAATCTCAGGAGGGGAGAAAACACACATGCATAAAAATTTGTCGATTCCCAGGAAAATATGGGAAACTATGGGGAGTGGGGGGGGAGACTACAATCCAGATTACCCTGGCGAAGAACCCAACCCATTCAATGCGCGTGGAAAACATCAGCCAGACCGCTCAATGCACAAGAATTTGTCATGGAGTTCCGCAATACCCCTGGGAACTTCGCCGGGACTAGGCTCAGCGCGCACTCACGCAACTCAGTCAAGTTGGCAGCCCGCTCTGGCAGCGGACTCCCTGGGAAAAGGAGACGGTTTCTGTCACCGGAGCCTTGTGCGCTCCAAAGTGGGCCCAGGGAGCCATGCGGACGCTACTACTGGGGCCCTCGGTGGACCTCCCTGTGGGCTCACGGGACGTGTGAGTGGTGTGCCAGAATGGGCCTGAGTAACCATGCGGACGCAGCCTGGGGCCTTCGGTGGACCTCCTTGAGGGGCTACAAAATGTGTGAGGGGTGTGCCAGAATGGGCCCGAGTTACCATGCGGACGCTACCACTGGGGCCTTCGGTGGAACTCCAGAATGATGATGATGATGATGATGATGATGATGTCATTGGTGATGGTGATGATGGTGAGAGTTGATGGTGGTTCTCATGATCATATAGTGGTGATGATGGACAAGGATGAAGAGGAAGGACAGGAGGGAGGAGGCGGAGGAGGAGGGAGGAGGAGGGAGGAGGAGGAGGAGACGCGCGGCGCTGCGAATTCAAAGCGAGGACCCAACACACAGGGGGGTTGAGAAACATATGAAAGACAATGGGGAATCCTGGGATTTGTGTCTATGTATTTGTGTGCCACTGGGCGCCCTCATAATTGTGCGCGGTGGCCCTGGCTGTGTCGTCGTTGGCCTCGGCTCTCGGCAAGGTGGGCAGGGCCGCGGCGCTACGTGGTCAGCCTAACGTACCAGGAAGCTGGATACGCATGGCGCGGCCGGCCTGGGCGAGAGCCGGACACAACGTGGCCACATGTCTCTCCAGCCCTCGGCCCCCGCGTGGCCAGGCATGGTGATCCTCCACATATGTATCAAGCAAGTGACCTCCAGATGCCTAGATCTAAATGAGGAGAAGGAGGACGAGGGGGAGGGAGAGGAGGGTAGCACGAGAAAAAAAAAGGAGAGGAGGAAAAACAAGACGGAGGACAAGGAAGGGAGGGACGAGGAGGGGGAGGACGAGCTTCCTTGCCAGCCGAGAGCTTTTTTTGGGGGGGCAGAAGTGCAGCATTGTGCGGTTGTGCTTGCAGCTTTCTGGTATCAAGCTGTGGTGAAGCGTCCTGGTCTGCCGATCGGCCCACCGAATAATGTTCTAAGAACCGCTTGTGGTTCGCACGGAATGTTATTAGAACGCGTTTAGATTCAAGTTGCAAAAACATTGGTTATGATATGAGAGTAGTTGTTGGTTATGGGAACATGTTGTGGTAGTCATATGCCGTGAGCGTCAGTCCGTGTTCAATGGTAGCATTCGCTTCCAGAATCTTCCCGCCCTGCTCTCGCGGTGCCCAAGAGACGTCCCCTCCCCAGTGCTCATCCCTCTGTCCCCCCCCACGGCCAGACAG